ATTAAAAAAAAAAAAAAAAAAAAAAAAGAACAAAGCAGTGTTAAACCCTTAAAGACTAACCTCTGCCAGGAGCTCATATGTACCAACATCCTGGACCCCTTGGCACAGCGGATACCAAGTTTAAAGGCACCTGTCTCAGTGAGTGTCCATCCCAGGTCCTCCAACGAGGTCTCTTCTCCCAAAGGCACCGCTCTCTCTCTTTTCCATCTAATATGAGCAGCATCTTAGGCTGGGCCGAGCCGGCACGGCCACGGGTGAACGTGAGAGGGGGCGGTGACGGATTTAGAAAAGACAGACGAGAGAGTAAAGCTGGGGCTGGGTGGGACACTGCCCTCTCTGACGGAGAGACAGCACCACGGCCTGCAAGCGAGTCTTTATTTTGTAGCCAGATTCCACGAGGCAAAGCAAGGGCAAGGTTACAAAGGTCTCAGGGGGTTTCGAATCTACTCAATTACATGCACCTCATCATCCAGCTTTGTTTCCTTGCTGCACCTCCCGCAGCCCACATCACTCAGCCACGTGGGCCCGCAGGTTCGGGCCATGAGGTCAAGCTCACAACCACAGCCTTTGGCTACCACTGTGCTGGGCTTGCATGTGGCTTTGCCACGAGAGGATCGTGCCCTCTCATCAGTCGCAGGCTTGAACCTGTCCACACGCGGTTGCCGCTCTCCACAGTATAAATCAACAAATTTGGTAAGGCAAGTATTTTGTCCAGATGGATTTTTTAAAAATACCTTTGACATCCCATATGCTTCACACTCAGTGAAAAAGCTAGTGGCAAACATCTGAGACGGAGCAGGTACCACCCTGACTGGGAGGCAGCATCGCTAGGCCTGTAGCCTTCACTCTGGCGGCTCTCGCTCCACCTGGACGAACACACAGCTCCACCCACTGTCTTCCCTAACATCACTATGGAATTCTTCATAAAACAAACAACAAAAAATCCCTGCAATTCTCCTGCTATTGGGAGGAATTCCTATAATCCGTATGATGATAATCCAAACAGAGAGAGACATCAGATGAACAAAATAAACCCACACATCTGAGCTTTTTGCTGTGTATTCCACTTGGGGAACCACTCACTGTTTCCTATCCCTCACAAGGATGTTTTTTAATAGATTTTTATTGATTTCAGAGAGAAAGGGAGAGGGAGAGAGAGATAGAAACATCAATGATGAGAGAGAATCATGGATAGGCTGCCTCCTGCACGCCCCCTACTGGGGATGGAGCCTGCAAGCCCGGCATGTGCCCTTGACCAGAACTGAACCTGGGACCCTGCAGTCCGCAGGCCGATGCTCTATCCGCTGAGCCACACCAGCCAGGGCACAAGGATGTTCTTCAGGATCACTCGCAGGCTACCAGGATAAAATGGACACAGTTTATGAAGATCTTCAGGGTGTGGAAGTCATCGGAATCCTGGCAGTAAACAAGAGGCGGCCTGGCAGGGCAGGGGGAAGCGTAGTTCAGAACCCACTTGCAAGGACGCTGTGAATAGCGGCGCAGAGGTGGGAAACTGGCGAGAATCGATAGAACAGCAAGTTCTCCATGCGTCCTCTCAGCAGTTATTGAGCAATGTTCTGGGGGACCGAAGGTCTTTTCTAAACCTTTGATGGACTTCCTGATTCATAAGCATTTGTAACACAGGGCTTACTCTTTGATTCCGGGGAGCAGATGTACTCTCCTAATACATCTATTTGGCCTACGCCCCTCTCCAGATGAATATTGACAACTGCCTAACCTGAATACCCTTTAAAGTTAAGAATAAAATTTGATGATTCATAAAAAAAAAAAAGAAGAAGAAGAAAACGCGGCCTCTACTGAGAGGATATTCCATGCAAAGACCACAAGTGATACAAAAATCAGAGGCAACATGGTCACAGGAAATCCATGATGCCATGTTGTAAGTGCACACAGACACAGACCATCGGACTTGGTAACTAGCAAATGGTAACCACGGACACTGCGTTTCTTAATATAAATTATCTGGTGGTTATTTGTACCGAACTGGGTTGTTTTTTCCCAATGACGGTTTATCAGGGAAATCTTTTCTAAAAATAAATTATACATGTCATGAAACCTAAGCAAAGAGCTAATAAGAGGAGGTCAACACGAGAAGCACAAGCAGTTCTAAACTTAACCAGCAAAAATAAATAACACTTAAAAGAATGAGGCATTGGCTTTCTCGGTGAAGTCACTATAGCCTATTCATTTACAAGTAGCTCTGAACACAATTTGGTGCTAGGCAATTTATGCAGTAAATTCACAATTAGCAACCGGAAGCGCAGGTACACGGAATAATCCAGTAACTGTTTCTAAAACACCTCGTCTCCTTTGTTTTCATGATAATTGACTAAATAAGACACATGGATTGATGTCCTGTACAATTTATTTCTAATCAGGATAACTCAGTCGTCTGATCAATTCAGCCCCAATCTGTTCTGTGAAACATAGAAAAAATGTAGTTTGACCTATCTAGCCACTGTAATTTCACACCCAAAAGTTCAACTCTCCAACCAAAGGACTTGTATGCATGCATATAAGCATAACCAATGGACATAAGACACTGGGGGATAGGGGAGGCTAGGGGACTGTCAAGGGCGGGGGGAAAAAAAGGACACATATGTAATACCCTTTGTAATACTTTAAGCAATAAAAAAAAAAAAGTTCAACTCTCCACAAGACACGCACCCATAAGATAGAAGCATTCATGCTCATATCTTGCATAATACAAAATTCAGAATCACACCAAACAACAGAAGGCCTATAAATTATTTTAAAACACACAACTGCCCCCCAAATAGTTCTTCTCAGAACCAACTCTGCATAGAATGAGCAAATATCCAGCTATTTCAATCAATGTAGGAATACAATAGCAATCATTTAGGCTCAAGTGGATTCTTTTCTTGCTTTATCCATTTGGGATGCTTTAAGGCTAAACCAGGCAATTAATCTCTTCTTGTTTTCTATCATAACACTCTGTCACAGACACATAAAACTGTCTTCACAGCTACACAGCATAGCGCTGTCCTTGAGGCCAGAGAAAAAACCCAGCTGATCAGGTCGACGTGCCCACGCACTTCCACAGCAAAGCAGTAACAATATTCCCTCCGCACATTCATCATCACCTCTGCCTGATCCTGGGCCCCACCGAAGGGAAGTTTGGATCTGTCCTGATCCTCTAACTCGGGGGTGGGGAACGTCCGGCCCGCGGGCCGCACAAGGCCCACGGAATCATCTGGCCTGGTCCTGCCAAGGCATTAGGGGTGAGTGAATGAAATGTCTGCCCGGATACAGCAGGCTAGTGTTTCAGTTGACCATTCTCTCTACGGTGATCTTAGAAATATCCAAATGGCCCTGGGCAGAAAAAAAAGGTCCCCCATCCCCTGCTCTAACTGAACCATCCACGGAAACTCGCCCTGCCTGTTCAAGAAACTCATGCTAATCAAAGTCCTTAAAAACGTTCCTGGTTTCAAAGTATGGTTTCCTTTTAACCATTGCTAAGGTTAACTAAAGAAATCTTGCCCAATAGGCACTACAAACCATATGCTAAAGAAAAAAAAAATAATCCCAGCATAAAAGGCAATAGAAACAAGTAGTTACAAACATTGCATAAAGAACACAGCTTCCTTAACTTTAGTAATAATACTGATTGGCACCAGAGTGAAGTTACCTATGCAATCACTCCGAAGCGTGCACAATATTCAAATATATCTTTGTTGGAGTGGCTCAGTATCTAGAAATGTGTTGCTGATAGCACCGTTGTCAAATGCAGAATGCTTTCAGATTGGTTTGTGGCAAAAACAAAACAAACCCTCTATTATATAAAGATCTATTTATTGGGCATATGGCACGATAACATAAATACCCACAAGCAAAATTATAAAAATAACACCAAATAAAAAAATAGTTTAGGCTATGACAAATACCAGCAGAATTGTGTGGTCAGGAGGAAAACCATTAAGCCGTCCATACACTCACAGCCACACTCTTGCCACAGGACAGCACAGCGGGCTTATTTTCATTGCTCACGGTGAGCTTTTATGTTATTATAACCCAAATGCTTATAAGGACAGCAGAGGGAACGCTGCTAAACGTTAAGAAGGATGCTGCAAAATCATGTGCGTGACGCCCAAGACTACGGGGACGCTCGCATGTTCTGCTATGGCTGAATACAGATCCCAGGCTGTGGAATCGCCCAGAAGTGTGAGGACACAGCTGGCTGCATCTGCATCTCTGGTGAGGACACCAGCTTGTCCTCCAGCGCAGGCGCTGGGGTTCAGGAAGCCCACCCGGGGCCAGAAAGTTGGTCTTTACTTTCATCGCCGGGAAAATCCCCAGGAAGCCAGCTCCCCCCCCCCCCCCTTTTTCCAAAACAGCCTTACCTTTCTGTACACCAGCATGTTGGGGGACTCGTCCGCCACCCCGTTGCTGGTCTGCCCGTAGTAGTTGTTCCCTTGGGCCATGTCACCCCCACACTGGGTCGGCTCTGGGGTGCAGGAGTCCGCCTGCAAGGGAAGGGTCAGGGGGACTTCAGTGCGCCCCGAAGGGCAGCGCTCCAGGCGGCGATGCTCGATGCGCCCTCAGCACCCACCGCACCCGCCCATCCACCTGGACGGCGCTCACCTGCCGGGGCTCCAGGAGGGGTGGCCCAGGCCCAGGGACAGTTTGTTGTTTCCTAATTGGATTTCTATCCACAGCACACCCCCCCCTCCCCCCCAGGCCCAGGGGACTGACTGTAAGACGTGACCACCTCTGGGTGAAAGCAGTCCTTGCGCTATAGCTTCACATGCAGTTGGTTTTCTGGAAACTCGTTTTTAAAAGAGTTTGCTGCTCAGCTGAAAAGAATCCCAGGGCTCCCATGGCCACGCCAGGGAGTTTTCTCTCCCAAACCTGCCTGTCCGCTCCCTCCCCCAAAGGGCGAGAGGCGCCACCCGTGCGCACACTCCGTCCCGGGTGTCGGTCTCGTGCCCCCCAGTCCCCCCCACGCGCGGGCGTCGGCGATGCCCTTCCCAGGGCAGGTGTGCCCCCCCCACCCCCCCGGTCCCCGCGCCTCCCCCACCCGGGGCTCCTGCGCCTTCACCTGCCCGCGCCGCCGGCCACCGCGCCTCTCCGTCCCCGCTGCGCCCCGGGGAGCAGGGCGGTCCCGCCCGGCCCCAGAGAAGATCCGAAGACACCCCGGCCCCGGGCACCGGGGGAGCCCGGCCCGCCCGCCCTCGCCTCGCTCGCCGCGGGGAGCCACCCGCCCCGGCGCCCCGAGCCCACAGGAGGGAGCAGCCCCGCGCCGCGGCCGCAGGGACCGGGCACCGCAGGGCGCGGGTGGGTGCGGGGCGGGGGCCGCGGGCTGGGTGGCGCCGCCTCCTCGCTCCGCGCGCCCCCCGTTACCTCTCCGCCAAGGTCACGGCCCCGCGGCGTCTCGCTCCCGGGCGGGCGGCGTCAGCGGGCGGCGAGGCCGGGCCGCTGCATCACACGCGCCCCCGCCGCTCCGGCGACCGCCACCCTCGCCGCCGCCGCGCGCAGGCGGCTCCCAGCCCGGCCGCTGCCTCCTCCGCTCCGGCTGCCGCGCGGGGACCGCCGAGCGCGCGCCCAGCCCAGACGCCCGCCCGTGCGCGCGCCTGCGAGGAGGCGGTCACGTGGCGCCCGGCGGCCGGAGGTGGCGGCCGGTTGGGCTCCGCGCGGCAGGACCACGCCGCCCGGCCGCCCCGCCGCCCCACCTTCCGCCCCGGGGGAGACCTGCCCGCGTTCTCACACACCCCGCCCGCCCCGGTGTGCGCGCCGCTCAAGGCCTGGAGATCCAGTGTAAGGCGGAAGGGAGGAAGGGCCATGGATGGGGGTGTGGATGGATGGGAGGGTGGGTGGGTGGGTGGATGGGTGGATGGATGGGTGGATGGGTGGATGGGTGGGAGGGTGGGTGGGTGGGTGGGTGGATGGATGGATGGGTGGATGGGTGGGAGGGTGGATGGGTGGATGGGTGGGTGGATGTGTGGATGGATGGGTGGATGGGTGGATGGGTGGGTGGGTGGGTGGGTGGATGGATGGATGGATGGATGGATGGATGGATGGATGGATGGATGGATAGGTGGATGGGTGGATGGATGGATGGATGGATGGATGGATGGATGGGTGGATGGATGGATGGGTGGGTGGGTGGATGGATAGGTGGATGGGTGGGTGGATGGATGGGTGGGTGGATGATGGATGGATGGATGGATGGATGGATGGATGGATGGATGGATGGATGATGGGTGGATGGATGGATAGGTGGATGGATGGATAGGTGGATGGATGGATGGATGGATGGATGGATGGATGGATGGATGGGTGGATGGGTGGATAGGTGGGTGGATGGATGGGTAGTCCCTACCTTCTGTTCTAAATACTACTATCTAAATCGACATTACATACACCCTAGTCTGACCCATCTCCCACTCTTCCCCAACTCCCAAAATATTTCCAGTGTGCTCTTTGGTAAGGCCTCTTCTCTCTGCCACCCCAGGGCATTTGCACTGGCTGCTGCCCTGCCTGAGGCCCCTCCCTCAGATTTCACTCCCTTTTCTTCTTCATTTTTTTTACTCCAATGGCACCCTCTCCATGCAGCCCCCTCTGAATACCATTCCTCTTTAACTCCTGTGATTTATTTGCTCTCAGAGCATTGATCACCTTCTAACATAGTGAACAACTTACTTATTAGCTACGTTTAGTGTCTGTCTCCCCTGGAAGAAATTAAGTTCTGCCGACTCAGGATATTTTTTTTTTTCTCTCCTCTGCTCTGCTGTATCCCCAGGATCTAGAACAGGATCTGACATAGAGTTGGCACCCGCTCGGTATCTGCTGATTTCTTGAGTAAATAAATCCATGAACATGGTTCTGGTGGAAAGACTGGGTGGACTGGAATCACACAGACAACAACGTTGGACAAAACTGAATTAGCATCAGAAAAGGGAACCCTGGTCCACGGCTGGTGGGAATGCAGGCTGGTGCAGCCACTGTGGAAAAACAGTTTGGAGTTTCCTTAAAAAATTAAAAATCGAACTGCCATTAGACCCAGTGATCCCACTTCTAGGAATATACCCCAAAAAGTCAGAAACACCAATCAGAAAGGACATATGCACCCCTATGTTCATAGCAGCACAATTTCAGTAGCTAAGATCTGGAAACAGCCTAAGGGCCCATCAGCAGATGAGTGGATAAAAAAGCTGTGGTACATCTACACCACGGAATACTACGCTGCTGTAAAAAAACGAAAGAACTCTTACCCTTTGCAACGGCATAGGTGAACCTGGAGAGCATTATGCTAAGTGAAATAAGCCCGTCAGAGAAAGACAAGTATCACATGATCTCACGCATATGCGGAATCTAATGAACCAAATAAACTGATGATCAGAAATCAGCCCAGAGACAGAGAAGCATGAACAGACTGTTGAACCTCAGAGGGAAGGAAGGGGAGGGTGGGCGGGAAGAGATCAGTCCATGAACTTGTGTGCAGATATGCATCAGCCGTGGACACAGACAATGGAGTGGCGAGGGCCTGGGGTGGGGGGACAGGAGTGGGCTGGAAGAAGTTAAGGGTGGGAAAAGGGGGACCTATAAAATGCTTTCAACAATAAAGATTGAAAAATAAAAATTTTCAAAATAACACTGAATTAGCATCAAGTTTCACCGGGATGGAACTGATCTGCCCTTCACAGCTGCTGCCTGTGTCTTAAAGGGGAAGAGTGACTTTTTTTCCCCACCACACGCCCACTTCACAGAGGAATGCTTTGAGAATTAATTAAACAGTAATGTGGAGAACGCATTTTGAATTTCAAAGAGAAAGCATTTCATTAATTTGAGGCTTTTGTTGTGTGAAAGAATTGTGAACCATACAGGGGCAAGTACAAAGACGAGAACAATGTTAGAGGAATTATACTGTTCACAGTACTACGTTGGCATTTCCTGAGATAATTGATTTGAAATATAAGCAGAGGGAAAAGAAAAAGAAAAAAAGTGGTTTGAGAAATCTTACCCCAAATGACAGATTTTTTTAAAAAAAATACCTCCTTCTTTGCCGTCAATTCTCAATTAGGTATAGCATAAGGCCCTCCTTGATGAATTATTCTCCACTTCCCCATCCTTTTATCCATTTTATGGCCATTTCCCAGCTCGTTGGAACTCCCACATCAATGTCAGAGGGCAGACAAAGAAAAAAAGAGAGAGAAGCAAAAATTCTCCTCATTGGGAGCTTATTCCTCTCTCCTTCCTGTGGAAATGTTGAAATTCTGATTTAGATTATTTCCCAACGGACACACTTCTCAAATGTTATGCATTTGCCCGCCTGGCGTGGCTCCGTGCTGAGCATTGATTGACCTGTGAACCAGGAGGTCACGGTTCGATTCCCCGGTCGGGGCACAGGACCGCGTTGCGGGCTCCATCCCCAGTGTGGGGCGTGCAGGAGGCAGGCGATCCATGGTTCTTACTGCCAGGCACTTAGCTATTCACTGAAGGACCAACTAAATGAATCTAGAGGGAAACAGCCAGGAAGAGGAAGCCGCTCAAGCTACCGTGATGCCTGCGAGAGAGATTTTGACCATGAAAGAGAAAGCTTGGGTGATTTGTGATAATTATCTTAAAATGTTAAATGACTCTCATGTGGGGAAGAAAACCTCACTGATCTTCAAGCTCCAGACAAATTTAAATTTAATAGGTAGACGTTTCCGGCAGATAGATTTCAGCTCAGCACAAGGATTTGCTATCCAGCAATTAGGGCTTCTCAGAACAGCTGTCATGAGACGGCGAGTTGCATGTCCCTGGACCCTGGTCTGAAAGGTTGTTAAGGAGATTGTCGTTACACTGAGGAAGGGAGAGAGAGAGAGAGAGAGAGACATCAACGAGAGAGAATCATGGATCGGCTGCCTCCTGCACACCCCCCACTGGGGATCGAGCCCACAATCCGGGCCTGTGCCCTGACCAGGAATTGAATCGTGACCTCCTGGTTCATAGGTGAACGCTCCACCACTGAGCCACGCTGGTCCGAGGTCTTCTTAAAGACATCCCAGACCAACACTTCCCACTTCAAGCAATTATCACAAAATCCATTTTAAATGAGGCACATAGAGTTCGAGTCAAGCACAAGGTGACCCAAATGTCTGTTGCCAGGTAGAACAGAGCAGCTTGCAGCACACCAATAAGTCCCTAGGAAAATGACTAAAATAATTCAATATTTAAAAAAAAATATATATATCTGTTTAACTGCATGATACAGTTGCCAAAGGAGAAAGGATAAAAGGAGCCAAAATTCTGGAGGGAATTAAAAGCTGCAGAAAGGCCCTGGCTGGCTTGGCTCAGTGGATAAAGCGTCAGCCTGCGGACTGAGGGGTCCCGGGTTCGATTCTGATCAAGGGCACATGCCCGGGTTGTGGGCTCGATCCCCAGTAGGGAATGTGCAGGAGGCAGCCGATTGATAATTCTCTCTCGTCCTTGATGTTTCTCTCTCTCTCTCCCTCTCCCTTCCTCTCTGAAATCAATAAAAAAAAAAAAATATTTAAAAATAAATAAACAAATAAAAGCTGCCGAAAGGTAAGCTGATGTTTGGAACCTACTTTATAACTGAGGGCGTATGTCAACTCCGGTTGCAAACTAAGGGGCTGATCATTTGGGATTTTCCCAAGCAGAGGGCCACAGCTAGAGGGCAGAAATCAGGAAAAAGAAAAAGAGAGAAAAAAGATGTAAGTCACAGGAGGGGAGAGACAACACTGGAACCCGAAGAGGCAAGTAGCTGCTCTGATATAGCAACTCCCCTCCTCCCACCTGCACCTTGTCCCGATTAAATGCGTGGGGAGCTTTAGAATTTACGTTTCGCCAGCCAGAGAGGTTTTGCCATCACACTTACCCCAGGTGGGAAAGGACTGTCAAAACCCCATGCTGAGTGTCCGCTTTCCAGACCTGGTTTTGGTAGCCATTGTCACAGCCACGCTCTACAAGGGAAGGAGGGCCTTATTCTGGCGGGAGGCACAACCCGGGAAATCAAAACCCAGGGGGACAGAAACAGGGAGAACCAGCACAGAGCGGCACACGGCCAAGTTGCCGCCGGCTCCGAGAAAGCTCTGGTCCGCTGCTTGTTCGCAGGAGGTGTCTGCAGAGAGGATGCTGGGCCCGTTGCCCCGTGGAGCAGTCCATTGAGGGAAAGAGGAAAGAATAAGGTATCTGGGCCCCTTGGCCGGCGGGGCTCAGTGGCTGAGCGTCCATCTATGAACCAGGAGGTGAGGGTTCGATTCCCGGTCAGGGCTCATGCCCGGGGTTGCAGGCTCCATCCCCAGTGTGGGGTGTGCAGGAGGCAGCCGGTCCATGATTCTCTCTCATCACTGATGTTTCTCTCTCTCTCTCCCCCTCTCCTCTCCTCTCGGAAATCAATAAAAAAGATATATATATATTTTTAAAAGAATAAGGGATCTGCTGGCTCTCCTTATCTTTTCTTGGTGAGATGTCCCACACAGACGCTTACCAGGGTCCGTCAGGCAATGGGAAGCTGATGGGGAAACCAACCTCCCAGCGAAGCACATCATCTGCCTCCTGAGTCGGGGGAGGAGCCAGCCTCTCGGGGTCCAGCTGGGCCAGAGGTGGAGGCCGGAGCTGCCCTGGGGACAGGGAGGCTGTGGGAGGCTGGTTGCCCCCAGGGGCGCCTATACTGTCAGCAGGACCGGTGGTCACCGTGGCAGCAGCATGAGTTTCTCATGTGCTTGGGCTCAGCCCCGCATGCGACGGGTGGCGAGGGCTCCAGGGACATTAGCTGTCATGAGTCAAAGCCCCTACGGATGCTGGGGGAGGTGTCCCCTCACCTCCAAAGGGACTCACAGGTCCCTGCACGTGTGTGCAGAGCGCCATCTGGCCGCTCGCTTGTTATTCCCAGCGAGGCCTTTCATCTCCTGACCCCATCGCGGAGCAAGGCCTGACCTCCGATTGCAAATACTTTCAACGGGTGGTTTGTTGACTCCCACCTGATGGTCGTCGGGGCCGGTGCCTGGCTATGGGCGATCCGTGTTGCCGTCTAAATGGCGCCAGATCCCCATCTGGAGATTCAGCTCCGATCCCTGGAGAAAAGCACAGGTGAGCAGGGCTGTGCCGGGCCCCGCGAGGTGGGCCGGTCCTGCACCCGCAGAAGCCACCGCTCTGAGGAACCTCTCCCACGTCATCTCTCAATGAATGGCTGGGTCTCACCGGGGAGGACATGCCTCCTGTCACCTCAGGGAATGACCACCGGGAAAGGCAGCTGGAAGGGGGGCCAGGAAGACAGAGGAACCCGAGGGGGGACCCCAGGGGTGGCAGCTGCCCGGCGTCTTAAGGAAAAGCGTGGGGGGCCTCTGGGAAGAGGAGGTAAGGGGAGAAGCGTTTCCTGATCCAGGGGATTGTGGCTGAACCTAGTCCAGTGGACACTGGGAGAGACACTGCCCGGACCCCCCTTCACAGCCGACGCGCTCATTCCAGCCCTTGAGAAGATCAGTTCTCAGAGCATCCGCTTAAGCCAGCGGTTCTCAACCTGTGGGTCGCGATCCCTTTGGGGGTCGAACGACCCTTTCACAGGAGTCGCCTAAGACCATCGGAAAACACATCTATAATTACATATTGTTTTTGTGTTTTATGCTTTCATGATGTTCAATTTGTAACAATGACATTGGGGGTCACCACAACGTGAGGAACTGTATTACAGGGTCGCGGCATGAGGAAGGTTGAGAACCACTGGCTTAAGCTAAACAGAGCCACCCAGCCCGGTTCATATACCCTCCCTGGGAACAGCCCAGGTCCGACGGCTGGTCCTTGAGGAGGAGGTTCAAAGGCCAGGCAGGCCCTTGGCCTCAAGGAGGACCATCCTGGAGGGTCACCCGGTTCCAGGGTTCCTTCAGGGTCAGCTGAGGTTTCTGTGGCAACTACACAGCAGGGCAGCCCTATTTGGCTTCCTCCACCACCACCATCCCTCCTCTCCCCCCCCCCCACCCCCGCCCCCGCCCCACCAACCCCCAGAGGTTATTCTGAGAACAGCCCAATAAAACTCTCACGTGC